TTTAACTAATACATATCGTGTCTTGAACCGTTTTAGCGTTCTATTTAAATATTAAAGTTTTTAAATAAGTTACAAATTAATTAGTATAAACAGTCTATAAAAAATACCTAATTTGGTTTTTTGGAAATAAATAATGTGAATTCAGAACATAAACCTGCACTTAAAATATCACTTAACGATAAATGATTTTATTTCGTTCACGTGCCAAACTTTCGCAAAGACAAGTTCGAGACGAGCGGAGATTATCGGCAAAATAAATCAAACGAGGGTTAGGATGACATTTATTATGGGAAAATACACATTTTTATGAATTTGTTAGTAGTAGTGTAGAAACATTATACGATGATACTGAATTACAAATACTGTTAGCATTTCTTGAGACTTCCAATTAACCATTAAATTCACCAATGCTTTATAAACATAAACTTAACATGTTGAATTATTTTAAGGTTGAAAGCTTTAATATTTTTACATGTTATTGCACATAATGCCCCTATATAAATTAGAAATCAAATGCTGTGGATGACGGTTCAAGTCCTGTCCGAGTCGTAATTTTTAAAAGTCATAATCGATTTTTAATTTCTTTTAAATTTATTTAATATTTAAAAATATCAACTTGGCTATTATATATACAGTTATATCATTATATTCAGTTTATTCTATTCAACCTCATAATCGGGCATGAAGATATGCAAAGCTAACAGGGAAAACTACAAAACAATGAAAAAAAATTCTCAACCGAGTCACGTATATGCGATAAAATAGTGTGAAAAGAATGTTTAAGTATTTTTATTCTTTAAACTTATCACAAGAGACTCGGATTCATTAAGAGAGAATGTAGTGCGATTGTGTCTCAAAGAAATTAACCGCTCGCATTAAGAAACCAGAATGACCTAACATTTTCTTAAAACTTAAAACCTCCATGGTTAAGCAGAGCACGCTTCGCGCCACTAAAGCTATCGTAAATAAGAAACGAATGCATTTCCCGGCCAAGGATTATATTCTGTTAAGAAAATAGAGAGATATTCTTAAAAGTCGAGACGAATATTAAATTTTTATACTTCACTAGCTTTTCTCGAGTCGCTTTCAGAATTTCGTTGAACCCGCTGATGTAAGTACTCATCGGATGACCTGCCATAAAAAATGAGTGAAATAATAATGAAAACACGACGCGAGACGGGTACAACAAATTCTTATTGCAATATTAAATAACGTGTCTCTGTTTACATTTTAGAGACATTATGAATTGATATGTTGAGTGAAGGTTTTTATTTTGACAAACAAAGGAAAGACTTTTATTTAAACACGGTCTGTAATTAAAAAAATACATACTTAACGGTTCCAATTTTATTTTAACTACGGTCCGACGTTGCCGATGCTAGGCGGCAGCCATGGTCACGGGCAGTAGTTAAAAAAAATGTAAATATCTTTAACTAATACTTTGCACATTTTAAACCGTTGAAAATGTTTTATTTATAACACTTTTATTTGTTTGACTTGAAAAAAAAAAACGAAGACGACATCAATAATAATCCAACTTAGCTTTTTTAAAACTTTTACCACGATCACCATCATTCATTGCTTAGTTCCTGCTTTTTATTTATTTACGTATAGACAAACTCTCGTACATATAGCAGAAATGTAACACTAGATTTTTCTTTTCTCTACTATTTTATTTATACTACTTTTTTTTAAATCGTGTTTATATTATTTCGTCTTCTATCTGCTGAAGCTAACTTTAACATCATAAACAAAAAGACGGTCACCTCTGACCTTCAGGTAAATGATATCTACAAAGACATTTAAATGCGAGTTGTTAGTCTCCAGCTAACAATTCGCTGGAGTTATTTTAGTCTCTTTATCAAGAGAAAACAACAAAGTACGGGAGTAAATGAAAATATAGCATCTTTTGTAGCGCGAGATGCTAACATTTTCTACTTAGTCCAGTCTATTGTTTAAAGTTATTCTATGAAAACTTAGTCTACACTAGTGCTAATGAGCTGCTAAACATACTTACCTTGGCAACGCCACTTGAATTACATGTTTGTTTAGTAATTAATTAGGAATATCGCAAAAACTCTGTATAAAATAATTATTTCTCTTTAAACGATCTAAAAAAATGTTTTTGACCAGTATATGTCTATCTTTTAAGATAAACTTGAAAAAACTACGCGAAGCCGACAATGTCCTTGGTAACTGCTATAATTCATAAAAAAAGAATTTTGATGCCCAACATAACTAATGTGCGGTTTGCACACTAGGGAAAAAAACGTGAGCTCAATCGCCAAGATCGAATACTGAAAGTCTTACCAGATTCACAGGTTTTGAGGCAGCTTCCAGCATCCACACACAAACACACACCAAAATAACGATTATCAGGTTTTAGATAAACACACATACGACTTAATATCTTGTGGAGTTAATGTCACGGTATCTTGAGGTAGAATGAGGCTTCTGCCTTCGGCCACCACAGCACCCGATTGGCTAGAAGATTCCGCATCGATCCTAGCGATCCAACTCAGAGTTTCCGTCGCTCACCGCTAGATGGCGTTACATGACAGTGGTGCCGAAACATCCCGCCCACCAAAATACCCCATGGTATTTTATGATAAACGATATTGATAAAATTCGGTAATAATGAAACGAGTAAGCTTGTTAAAGGAGTGTTAATATTTATAAAACAATATAGAAAAATAAACTAAATTGATTAATTGTTAAAATTAGACATATTAAAATTTATTCATCGATTGGCAAAGGACAAAGTTTAACTAACGGTCGTCTTAGGATGTTGCCGTTATTTGCAGTTTTGACTTCTGCAACTCGACAAACTTTATCTTTGCCAGGTAAAAGTTTCACGACCCTTGCAAGAAGCCATTGTAATGGTGTTCGATTTTCATCTTTAATGATAACCATATCTCCTATTTTCAAGGGTCTTGAATCTTTTGTCCATTTAGCACGTTGTGTTAAAGAATTTAAATATTCATGTTTCCACCGAGACCAAAAGTTTTGTTGAATAGACTGTATTAACTGCCACCTTTGAAGTCTATTTACGTTTATCGAAGACAAGTTTTCGTCAGGAACGGTTTGTAACGGTTCAAGAGTAAGAAAATGACCGGGTGTTAAGGCAGATAAATCGTTAGGGTCACTACTAATCGGACAAAGTGGTCGCGAGTTTAAAATAGCTTCGATTTGCGCAAATAAAGTAGTCAGTTCTTCGAAATTTAAAATTTGATCTCCAACAACTCGGAATAACAGTGACTTCGCTACTTTTATTTGACTCTCCCACACGCCCCCAAAGTGTGCACCGGATGGAACGTTAAATTTGAACTGTATGTTTTCCGCATTAGAAGCTTCTTTCATGAAAGTCGAAAAGAGATTTTTTTGCACCTACAAAATTAGTCCCACAATCCGCATGTATAACGCTACAGCGACCGCGTCTAGCAACGAAACGTCTTAATGTCGCGACGAATGCTTCAGTGGATAGGCTGGAAACGACTTCCAGGTGAACGGCCTTCGTAGCTAAGCATATGAATAAACATAAATATGCTTTATCGATTTTCATACTTCTACGCGCGCCGAGCCTAATACGGAATGGACCAGCGTAATCAACACCGGATATAGAAAACGGCTTAACTTGGTTAACGCGAAATGACGGAAGATCGCTCATGAAGGGTTGCACCGGCTTCGGGTTTGAACGAAAACAACGAATACATTTTGATATGCGATTTCGAATAGATCTTTTCGCAGAAATTATCCAAAAATGTTGTAATAATAAAAATTGTGTAGTGTTAACGCCTGGGTGTAGATAATTGCGATGAATGTGATCGATGATTAGCGTTGTTAATGAATGATGCGAGGGGAGTAACGCTGGATGCCTTTGTTCGAACTCTAAGCCTGACCGTTTTATTCGACCACCGACTCGGAGAATACCTTTACTGTCAATAAAAGGGTTAAGTTTCTGAAATGATTTAGTAAGGACTTTTCCTCCCTTTAAATTAGACAATTCGTTACAAAATACTTGAGACTGTACGAATTTCACGATTTCTAAAAGTGTATTGTGACGTTCGACGTTTGATATGTAACTATTTTTATTTGAATTAGTTGGAAAACGAGTACAATTAATAAACCGATAAATATAAGCCAAAACGTTAATAAGTTTGTTAAGAGAGGAATATTTATTTAATAACGATTCGAATAGATGAGTTTCAGTTCGAGTATTTTCTACACAGGTAAGTACTAATTTACGTGTTTCAGAATTGACGATTGCTTCTTCATCCTGTGTAGTAGGTTTTGTTGAAACTGGCCAACAGTTTCGATCCTTTGATAGCCAATGCGGGCCCGCCCACCATAAGGAATTATTGATAAGAACTGAAGAAAGTTGACCGCGTGTAATCACGTCAGCTGGATTATTCTCTGAATCTACGTGATTCCAGACAGCTTCGGGAACGGCGCTTACAATTTTACTTATGCGGTTCGCTACGAAAGTTTTCCATTTGGAGGGATGCGAACGTAACCACGCGAGTACTATCGTCGAGTCAGACCAGGCACAAATAACATCAAAGGATCGAATAACAGGTAAATACGCCTGTTGGACGAATTTCAATAAATCAGCTAATAGAACAGCACCACAGAGTTCCAAACGAGGAAGTGATGTCGATTTAATTGGAGCTACGCGACCTTTAGAACATACAAAAAAAACCTTTACATTGTCTTCTCTGTCGACTACTCGCAGATACACTACGCCACCGTATGCCTTTTCTGAACTATCAGAAAACCCGTGTAATTCACATGACTTAAAATCTGTAACACAAAGACAACGCGGAACATGTAATTTAGTTAAAGATGGAAACTGCAACACATAACTATTCCACAAACGAGTGATGTCCTCAGGAGGGTCAGCATCCCAGCCAATATTTAGAATCCAAAGACGCTGAACAAGAACTTTGGCGACGATAGTTATCGGAGCTAAGAAACCTAAGGGATCAAATATACGTGCAATC